GGACTCGGCGGTGCAGTTGAAAGCCGAGCTGGGCCTTGACGTGCACGTGAGGACCATCCAGCGCGTCCTCTTGAGGGTCGACTGGTTGGTCTACACGAAAATGGTTAACACGCTTCCGCTGAAGCCGGAAGACATGGCCGCACGCTTCACGTGGGCAACGGAGAAGCTGTTGCTGAAAGACGCCGGGTCCTATTGGGATTCCATTATCTTCTCTGATGAGAAGAAATGGAACCTCGATGGGCCCGACGGCTTTCAGCAATATTGGAGGGACTTACGCCGACCTCCCCGAAGGACCAAGAGAAGGCAAGCAGGGGGAGGATCGGTAATGTTTTGGGCTGCATTTAGTGGGCGGGGAAAGTCTCAGCTGGTAATTTTGAATGGGAAGCAAAACTCGGACGACTATGTGTACACGTTGTCCGAGTTTTTGCTTCCCTATGCACATGCCAACTACGGTCTAGACTATATCTTCCAACAAGATAATGCCAGCATCCACACCTCAGCCCGCACTAAGGACTTTTTTGCGGACCAGGAAGTCAAGGTGCTCGACTGGCCGTCGTTTTACACCGACTTAAATCCTATTGAAAACCTATGGTCAATAATGAGCCGGCGCGTTTACAGGAACGGTAAGCAATTCGACAAGGTATGTGGTCTGAAAGAAGCCCTATTCGAAGCTTGGAATTCCATCCCTCTCGCTTTGCTGCAGTCACTGGTAGAGTCAATGCCGCGTCGCTGCTTAGCGGTAGTTGCCGAGAAAGGAGATAGAACGACTTACTAAGGAAATAAAAAAACTTGATTTTTGTATAGTCTGTACTGTTCGATCTGATCTGTCGTGGAGCTGAAAGTGGAAAGTTGTATTGGAGGTCCCCCTCAGCGGCCGAATCTGCGCTCGTTAGCGCTACTAGGCTTTTCCTACTGTCAACAACTCGCATATATCTAAATAGTATGACCTAACTCGCAGTTGTGACGGCGCTAGAGCACTGTAAGTGGGTGTCCGATGTGATCTGTCGCGCAGTGTATCCGTAGTGAACATATTTCGGGCCGTTTTTCATATGCCTTTAGCGAGAGAGTTGGGCTGGAAGTGTATTTTTTTTTACGACAGCAGTTTGCCCGTTAAAATAACAATTTTAGATCTTTTATTTATCTTTAATCTCCACAGTATATGTCTACTGCATCTTTGAGCCTTGCTGCGAGAGCACAGTGCGATTTTTTCTTGCTCCACCATATGTACATGTAATGATGGATACACATATCTCAAGTTACTACTTCGGGGTATATTAATACTTTGCAACCGCGGCTAAGAGCGGGTGCTCAGCTACTACGACCTGTACATATAAAAACTGTGGAAAAAAATTAACCGACCGTTTTGTTAGTCACCACTAGTGACCCACCAGATGCGTAATATTTAACCTTCTCGCTTGTGTGGTGACCAGAGCACCACAACTACGCACCTACACAGCATCTTAACAAATATAAATGCACTGGCATCAGCTAGGCGAGACATATATAACAGAAATATAGGTTATCGGTCCACTTCGCCGCAGCTGTACCCTGCTGTACGAGTTTAGACAAACAGCAGGGTACATGATGTTTTCGTACCGTCTGGATTTGCGCTAGATTCTGCGTCATCGGCGTTTAAAAGCGAGGTCTAGCCCTGGGTGAGAAGGCCCAAGACAATGCGCTACCATTCTTGAAGTCAAACGGGTCCTCGGTAGCTGCAGGTACGGCGCTGAAAGCTCTTCGTAAGCTCCATAAGGCTGGGAAGCTTGACGCACACTTTGTTCCGTTTCATGTGCTGAGCGATATGACGTGGTTGGTCCCACTCCACCTTCTGTCTTACCATCATTTATTCGCTTGCAGACCATATCTTAGTGTTATTCTTTTTTGAAAGATTTTCATCGAACAGGGTGCTTTTAGTCGGTGTCATTCGCAGGTTTCGTTATAAGGACCAAATCGCCTTACAGGTCCACACAGACAAATATCAAAATTAATCAGAGCGCGTATTTCCAAAATCAAAAGCGAAACAGTGTGGTGATGAACAAAAACCAAATCTTTTGATTGTGGATAATTTGCAATTTGATATTCCAGTAGCAAGATGACCTCCTCGAGCAGTACCGACAGCGTGGGCGGGTTGCGTGGGCGCTCGCCTTGTGTGTGGGCCGTCTACGAAGCGGCAATGAAGGAGCGAACGCGGCAAATGTAGACAGGACTAAGCTTCCGACGTCGTCACCAGGTCCTCCGTATGGCCCTTAGCCGATTGTTTATTTATCTTCAGACAGGCAAGATGCAAGGAACGTTGTCTGTGTGCGCCAGAAAGAGACTTCTACAGCTTTGGCCCAGATAATTGCCAATAGGTAAGTGTATGTATTTGATATGCAGTAAGTGCTCTGTGGTAGTATCAGCTCACTGACGGGCGTGATACTTCTATTGCTACGTTTTCTTGTAAATGCGACAGGATCTCCCGTAGGAGCCCAATCTATTGCTTCTAAAGCATCCTGAAGCTGTGGTCATTCGATCTGAAGAGCCCCCTCGAAATGAAAAGCGGTATAGCACTCTACATGAAAGCCGCGTTTACATCCATATTTGGCTTTTTCGGTAGGCATCCCGCGTTAGCTGCGCATGTAGCAGGTCAATTTCCCGTTGCTGTGTTGGGTTGAGTTTGGGGTGATCGCATGCAGCGAGATATCGCTACCAACAGCCTTGAAGATCTAACAGCCAGGTGAATACGGACATGTGCATACGCTTCTAACGGCGTCTTGTTGGATCCGTACTGCGTAGTTTGGTCAGCGCTATCAACAGCGGTCATGCATTTGTTGTTACAGCGACGAGTGTTGGAGCCACGAGCAGTGTACGATTTAACATTGTATCGCCGGTCCAACGCAAAAACGGTACAGTACCATGGCAACATTTCATTGCCTCAGGTGAATTTGAGCAGGGAGTAGAAGCTGACATAGTTCTCTTTAGATCGTTCGAGTAAAAGATCACGACCTTTCGATCTTTGAACACGATATAGTCAGTGTTTTGGGCGTAAGTCAACGTCAGCATGTACTCAGTGTGCTGCTTCTTCGGAAGCGCTTTCTGCTTCTTTTGTGTGCAGCATCCTTTGTCTTGTAGTTTGGTTCCGAATTCACGGTAGCTACCGGCTCCCACGAACCTCGGTCCTGGTTAGCAACGCGTTCCACTGCTGGCTCAAGGGCAAACTTGTTGAATTTCCACGCAATTTGACTTCTACGTCGGTGAAGGCGTCGAGGCACGCGCGTACGTGCGACGCGTGTAGATGTTGTCAGACACTATCAAGCGGTGACCTCTAGGTGAGCGGAATGTGCTGGTTTGGTGTCCTGTCATGGCTACCCATAGAGCTGTAGCCGACTTGCGATCGATGAGGATGTCCGGTAGTGATAGAGTCTTCCACAATGATGTTCAAAGCGACGGGAACAGTTGCGTATACCGCTCAGCCGGCGTAGACTGTGTAGCATTTCCTGAGCCAGTATCCCATAGTGAATGCACGTAAAACGAATTCCATCCAACAACTGAGTAGAAAGACAGGCCATATTTGTCTGGCTTGGAGGGCATGTACGTCCTCGCTCGAGAGCGTGCTTTGGTACGAACGGAGATCTCGTCAAGGCTACTGACGCCTAATGGTACGGCTGTCTCGGCAAAGCGCTTCTGAAAGTGCTGCAATAGGCCTCTGCAACATTACAGCGGATCTCGAACCGTTTTGATTGTCACCAAGGAGGTGGATGAAGTTGCAGCGCAGCTCGAATATGCTAAAAGCGATCTCGACACATAGTCTATATAAAGGCAGTCTGCCCGAGAATGGACCAGTAATCAGCGATGTCGTTAGCAAACAGAGACTCGTGTCATCTTGAGGCTCAGTAGCATTAAGCTCGCTTCAGCTACGACTTCTTCCCTTTGCTTTGAGCTAGCGATGTCCACCCTCGATTCTCTTAGCAGTGGGAGGTGACGAACAGCGAAAACAGGACGTAGACTCCGTCCTTCTCGTAAACATTTCTAACGGAGGCCTCCATGGTGAATTGTAGCCCACTTCCTTCTTGAATTTTCGTGAAGTATGCACTCTCTGCGAGCGTCCCTGACGTAGGGGCCGGTCCAGGTCGTGGAGCGTGTTTGTGGACAGGCTCAGGTTGACGTGGGCTCGCAGACGCAACCTCCAGACGTAGGCCGTCGTAGTCATCGCCTGCTACAATCTCGTCGCCGCTCTGGACGTCCCAGTCTCCGGTAACAGCATATTTCATTTCCTCACAGTAGAACGTCTGGACGCGGAGGGGGGAGCGAGTTTCTATAGCTCTTAAAGTGCACGCAGCCGCTGATTTGTTCAGGCCATGATTGGCTCTGGTACAGGTTCCCGAGGACCTATAAGTGACGGTAGCAAACATCCCCTACACACAGCTGCACATTACGAAAAATGTGAGTGCGAGCTGCTCTGGCTAACAGGCAGGGCCTCCGAAAATAATATTGTTTTTTTCGGACCCTTTCAGCAGGGATAAATCACTGCAATGCTGAATCGTGCGCTTAGAATACATAACGCTCTAGTGCATGTCAAAAAATAAATTACTGCGTTATTGATACAATAACAAACGGAATAGCTGTTATTGAGCAGTAAAGTCATACCATCTACAAGCGTGTTGCCTCATCTACTGTCTGAGCGTTCCAGTACGTACCATTTTCTCTTAGGAAGAGGTTCTTTCCCATGTAATAGGAAGTAAGCCATGCCGCTCTTGGCCAAACGTGGTGCGAGCTACGCTGAAAAACCGCTCGACTACGTTCGAAGTAGCCGGAATCACGTGGAGCAAGTCGTACTTAACATCTTTCTCGGCAAGACGACGTCGTTTCTGGAGCTGCTCGACAAAAGAAAATTCTTCATCGTCGTCATCCTCTCCGCTCTCTACATGCAAACTAACCCTTGCAAACGGCGAAAGCGCGGCTTTCTCTGCGCGAGTGAGACGGCTCGTATTTCCGCCCAGGACCCGACCGCACCTCGCCCCGAAATCAGGACTGTGGACGATTTCGGCGCGCGGACCTTTTAAAAAAAGCACAGTAATCAAAATAAAAGTTAGCAATTTTCATAAAAGCAAGAACAATAACAACAACAAGCTTATCAATGAAGCGAGCGTAGTGGGGCTTGATCGAAATCAGTCCATCAAGCCAAACACAAGCGTCTAACAGCGTCACGTCTCCCCCTTGCAGCGCTTTCGATACCGACTCTACTTTCTTCAGGTCCTTCAGCAAAGCACGGAGACGACGGTTGCACGCGGGCGTCGGCAACAGGTCGGCTATGTCGTCGTTGTTAGTGTCGATATACTCAAGCAGAATAAAGTACCTGTTGATCATCGCGAATGTCGATCCCCATCGCGTGTCTTGGCGGATAACTGGTCGAAGCTTCGTTTGAGCCCTGTAGCCAAAATAAAAAATTAGAAATAATTCTTATTTAGAGATATGGTGTACAAAACACCACGAGCCCCAAACATTTATTACCTGAGTTTGGCTGACTGTGTCAGAGTGCGTAGCCTAATCATCAGCTTTTGTACTGCATCGAGGTCAGTCTCAAGTCCGCCATCTCTACTTGTACAGCGCGTTTAAGACGGTGGCTGGCGCAGCCAACTAATGGCACGCCCATCAGCGTCGCTAACCGACGGTTCACTGCACAGTTGTCTGCTACCAGAAAGCAGCACTGCCCCAGCTGCTTTCCATAGTCGCGGGGCAGCGTGGTGGCAAGAAACTCCATGTGGCCGCGAGCTGAAAGGTCCTCCTCTTCGTCGTTGAGTAGTGGGGCAATACATAAGAGGGGGGGGGTCTTAATGACGCCTCAACCTTCGTAGCGAGCATACACAGCGATGTAATGCTCTGATGCATGCGACCACCCATCCAGAATTAGGCCAAAGCGTTCTGGCAGCTCTGCTCCGATGATGCGCTCGACAGCGCGCGTCAAGCTGTTCATCCCGGAGACAAGTGTCTCGACGCAAATGGGATCCAGGTTAGAGTACCTAAACATTGGACAGCAGTAATTAAAAACAAAGGGTAATAAATGTCTAGACAATAGAAATAAGATAGAAAGGCGCTTAGCTTACCGTCTAGCCGCCTCGTTCTCACAGAACGACAGCGGCAGGTTGTTCTTCAAGATCCACTCTAACCAGCTGAAAATGTTAAGAGACGATCGACGCACGTAGTTAATGATAGACCCCGTCTCGGCGGTTGTAGCCGCAAGCATGAGGCTCTCGTGGTCAGGATGCTCGCTTCGAATGTGGGACATCAGGCTGGAGAAGCCGTTCCGACGGGCTTGTTTTCTAACCGTGCCGCAACGACAGCGGTAGTACTCAAGTATGATCTCCTCGAGCTCGTCGCGGCACGGTTGAAAGAAAAACCCAGCAACCTGGGCCGGGGTAAACATCGAGTGAGCGAGGCGGCGAGGGGTTAGGACCATCTTGAAGGGCTTGTTTCTATAGACTCGGTAGCTTGCTGGCAAATTTGAAAGCGAGCAAGAGTAAATCGGTCAGAAGCGGCACCAAAACGATGGGTGGTGGCGAAGGAGCCCTCAGAAATAACTTAAGGTGAGTATGAACATAAATTACCTTAATTAGAGTGACACATACATAATTACTCTTAAACTCAGGTCCAAACTAAATAAAATAACTTTCAAATATTTATTTCCATTATTGAAACCTCAACTTTTTTCGGAGGCCCTGCTAACAGGTCCTGGGAGACCCGTACCGATCCTCGTAGATAAAGGGTTAGCCCTTTGTCTCTTGTCTTCTTGGTCCCTGTACGTGATGCTACGACAGTTTCGAGAGTTTTGTAGGGCAGTAGCGCACTCTATCCATTTTGATTGAGTTTGGAAAAATGACCATACAGCTTGAATCTTAGATGGTTCAACGATTGGTTTGCAGTAGATAACATGTGAGTAAAAAAATCTTGTCCTCGACACTTTTGTCAATCTCGTTGCGAGTAAGGACAGCGTCATAGCATTCAGCAGCTCGGTAGCAAGTGGCTTATATACTCATCGAGTGCTGGACCGGAGTAGAAGTTTGCCGCATTGTATCCGGACCATACCAAAATTTATCGGGCCGGATGACCTTATCGGACCTATGTATTGTACACAGGTCATCTCAGATATGTACGAGGTTTAAGGGAGGGCATGCCTGACGTGAAATGACTCAAAAGGCCAACGAGTGACCAAACAGACTGTTTATAGACCGCAGGAAATGGTCTGAAACGCCCTCTGGGCTAAAAAATTATGATTTTGTTTTTTATGCATTTTTGGCATGAGAGTTAAGTGCTCATCAGCTAGCAAATTTAACAATGAGGCAGAATCGCCACGATCGTCCGGATAATTTTGCATCGGTCCGGTAAATAAAGATTGACGACAGCCAGTTACTATAGCCACTATTGCTTATTGGCTAATTTTCTGCCAGTAAAAACATGTCACTTGTATTTGCGTTAGATTACAGGTATCGAATGGTTTTCAGCCTCTCATTTTCAGTCAATCCGTCGCCGACAGTTTACGTTGGCAGTCAGTCTTATTTTTTCAACGCAGCTACGCTGATCTCTCGTACATGGTGCACGGTCTTTTAAGCCTCCAGGTCGCCTCTTACCCCCCCCCTCTCCCTTCCAACGGTGTAGCTCAACTGGAAGAGCACAAGGTTTCGTCCTTGAGGATGCCTGTTCAAATCTGGCCATCGTTATTGCTTATGCTTGGATTAGAGGCCTTGTGGCGAAGATCAAGTCTCGTGGACAGCTCAGATCAGCAAAAAAGGTGACTGCATACGTGTGTTGATGTCGACATGACTTAATACTGTGAGGAAGGGTGAATGCATTCGAATCTAGTTTGTTTGTCCTACTTACTAATCTCCTCAAGAACGTCCTGCGTGTAGCCAAGAGACGGGTCTTGGATTGCAGCTGTCTAGAGCAGTAGACGCTGGCGTTGGATCGTGGCATTTAACGCGCCGGCGCTGTAGATCCCCTGGAGGTACTTAAGGACCGCGCTCGATCCGCGAGAGTTGATGCTGTGTTTGCCTTTCAAGTACGTGAGTACGGCATTCTCAGCGCGCTTCCCCAGCTCCAGAATTCGATCGCGGTAGTCCGCTGACGTTTGGTTGAGCACGAAGCCGTCGTCGAGAAACAGCTTCATGTACGCGTCTAGCAGCTTGACCTTCGAGCGCTGCTTCTTTGGCGTTTCGACGTACCAGCGTGGCTCCTGCGCGTACCAGGTAAACCAGATCGCATAAAGGGAGGTAGCTGATCCTCTACTCTGTTTTTGCTTGGGTTTGCTCACAACTGTGGCGTCTTTATCTTAAATGCTTCTTTTTCGCGTTTCAGCTACAGGATCACCGTTCAGCTTAGCCTCAAGCATTCCATGCAGGCGTCTTGACGCTTGGAATTCTCGATAAGATAAGGTGTTTAATGACAGCAGCCTGGTGGTCGATGATCTTCTGTTCTTGGCTTGGTTCGATTGGCATGGATGGTGATGTGGATGCTTCTATGCTGTAACAGGAATGCTGCGCTCCTGCATGATGCGTCCCAGGCTAAGAGGTCAGGTAGCGTACGTCCGTCCTGCGTAACACAGGTTTCGAGTCGCTGCACCGCTGGACTGTTGGGATTCAAGCCCTTTCCGACGGGATACTGCCAAACGACGCAAGCGGTTAGGACGTTTAGAGCCTTCCGGTTGATGTTGAAGCTCTCCGTCTATAGCTGATAGCAAGCTGCGAACAAGACTCGTTGGAACTCGGCAATCGCGTCAAGCGTATCTGCGTCAAAGCTGAACAGGTATTGGAGAGGGACAACGTCCTCGGGTTTGTATCCACTCAATACCTTGGCAATCATGTGGTCTTCTCTACTTGTGTTGAAAATGTAGTTAAACCCTTCGTTTATGGTGCTTAGGTTCCAAAATCCGCGATCAAATATCCAGCGCGCGATCATCTTCTCGCAGCCGTTGGCATGTTGGACCCCACCACAACGGAAGGAGTGCGGTGTGAGAGCAGCTGACACACCGGCGGCAGGGGCGACGCGATCAAGCATTCGGCTGACATGTGCGTAGATTGTCGGAGCCGCAGCAGTACGAGGAGACGAAGGAGCAGGCGAAGCAGGACCAGAGGTCGCCGGTGGTGCGTTTAGGAGCTCCACGAGCGGCACGTCAGGTGATAGTGTAATCGGCGTTTGTTGCACTTGGTCGGGTAGGTTCCCGATGAGAGCTAAGTACGGTGCGGCTTGGACGGAGAGGGTGAGAGCAACAGCGAGCAAGGGACACGTTGCGAAGTCGGCGTCGGGTAAGAGAGACAAGCCTTGTTCTTCCGACGTCTTCACACGGACCAAGAGAAGGGAGAAGACACGAGCGCCATCTATAAAGATGTTCCGCTTTTTGATCATCGACAGGTCTGACGCTTGCCCGAACAGGTACCAGAGCAGACACAGAAGAACAGCATCTTGGTAGTCACTCTCGGAAAATGCATTGGCATACTAAATACACTACCATTTTTTTTCAAGTCAGCCTTTGTACATGGTGGAGCCTTTGCTACGAAGCCACCACCATCTCTTTTCAGACAGACGTTATCTAGCGTTTTCCCATTTTAAGCAGCCGCGATTCTAGTGAAGCTCGGTGCTGAGGTCATTGCTCTATGCATGCAAATTTTGGCTTGGCGATAGTACTGTATTGGTATTGCAGTGTTTCGTGCCAGCCACTTTGTCCTTCTTTCCTTCACTAAACTTGGAAAATGCTGCGACAGCAGTTGCCTAAGCTCGCA